TCAGATTTAGTTTTAGGAATTTTATTCTTTTCAAATTATATTTTTTAGAGCACATCCTCTTCACTACTGGGGGGGTTCCTCAGGAGTTAGGAGAGAAAATGCATTTCTGTTGGTCTAGATGGACGTTAGTAACAATGTTCAGGTTGGTCAAAAAGATCCAATTCAAAAACTATGATCTGAAAAACATAAATAAAAAAATTAGAATATTAAATCTGTAAAAAAAAAAAAAAGAAAATTTGTAAAAAAAAATAAATAACAAAAAGTATATATACAGTGTGTATATTTTTATGTATGTATAGATAATGAAATATGAGAAAACAGCAAAGTTAGGCTTAATTTCTGGATCGCATTTTTTTTTTTCTATACATTTACAAAAGATTTTCTTCACTTGCAAAATAATAGAACAAAATTGCTTCATAATTTTGCAATAAATAACAACTAGAATGAAAAGGGACCCCAACAATGAGTCACATCTTTGCACAATTTAGCTTGGTTTTGCCTTCAGGCCTCAGAAAAACATAGATATCAGACAAAGAAACCTCAAAAAATTCAATCAGAAAGACAACAAAAGATTAAAGTATGGATAAATAGCAAGTAGACCAACATCAGGCCTAAGGAAGAACTATAATCTATCTAAGGCTTAACAGACCCCATCGGACACATCCTTAATGATGAACAAAGAGGGGGTGCAGGAAGGTGTCTGTATGCTGTGTAGCCCACAATCAGTGGCCATCTGGCAGACAGCTCAGCTCTGTGTTCCCCCTCCAGGCATCGGTCTGTGATACGGACCGGCCCACAGGGGAAGGGTTGGAGTCAGATGTGTAGCCAATTATTGATCTGTTTGTGTCTGAGCTGTTAGGGGGAGATTTAATGTTAAATAAAGATGTTATTCAGGCTGATGGTTGTCGTTTTGTGGAGGCTCAGTAATTAGGATAATAATCAGTTGGCTGAACCTGAAAGATTATCACATTATCCCCATTTAAACTGTTCTGCTGCTGCTGCTGCTGCACACACTCATTTTGTCATTTTTCTGTCTCCTCTATGTCCCTAATGGCACTTTATCACCTCAGACCCTCATGCAGGTGAGTTGGCCTTCATTTGTTTTGCTTTCTGGGTTTTGATTATTTTTCTGGAGGCTTCGGGGTCAGTGGATGCATACGGAAGAGGATTAGGGCCACTGGAAAAAAAAAAAAAAAGTTAACAGATTTTTTTTATTTTATTTCAGTATAGTATGGGAAAAAAAT